ACTTCAATGCATAAGTCAATTATAAATTGCTGGAAAACTATTATAAAAGAATAGATATGTCAAATGCGAAAACTATTTCAGGTGAATTTATTGCATTTTGAAGGGGTCCAGCAATGTTTGTACTTGAGAGTATTTTTCTGGAAGCTAATGAAACCAAAATATTATTCAAAGAATTAGGATGAACGTTTATTATCCATTTTAACATGTGGCTGCTCCATGGACTAGTATGAACATCAAAGAAAAGTGAATAATGCTATTTAGCCTCGCTAGGGTTATAAGCCCAATCCTTGTGGTATTAGGTGATAGGTTAAATGAAAAGTGTATTTATCATTTAATGTCACATTAGTGCCCCAGTGGGCTAAATAGTATTACTCAAGAAAAATTGATGAGTTTAGAATTACAACTCATCACAGATGTTCAGTATAATTTGAAGAGTCTAAACTGATGACGGGAGGAGTGCTGTGGCAACTTGGAAAGGTGTTATATACATTATGTCTTTTAAATTGAAGCTAAGAGTCTGTTTTGTGCACATTAAAATGAAAGAATGCATTTTTTTGAAGTGATGTGATGGGGAATATGTGATTGAAAATGAAGGAAAAGTTATTGATGTGATGGAAAATATTATTTTATTGAAAAATGTGGGATTGAAAATAAGTAGAAGAATGAGAATGAAAAAAATAATGTGGGTCAAACAGGGGCTAAGATTCATTCGTTGAGTTCAGACAATGTGTTTAATTGTAATTTGTTAGTCNTGTGTTTAATTGTAATTTGTTAGTCTTATTTGGGCAGCTGCAGTAGTATTCTCTGGTGCTATTGTTGGATGTACCCATTCAAAAATGCAATGCCTAAATTGTTATTGTCATATTATCATATATAATTATGCATTCTTGTCCATGTAAAGTCTTGCATACTCTGCTTGTCAAATGTTATTACTTGTCTTTCTTGCAATATGTAGGATTTATGTTAAATTATGTGGCAGGATAACTTTTCTTCCATTATACTTTGTGCCACTCCAGCTAATTTTCTGCTGAATAACGTTATCTTCTTTCCCATGTAAACTCAATTTTCATCTCCATGCAGGTATCTGTCTCTACTTGCCAGGCATCCTGTGATGACAAAAGCTGTTACATCAGCACTTTTGACTTTAGTTGGTGACCTAATCTGTCAGGTAAACTACTATGCCCTTAAAATCGAGATCATACATAAATTGTAAAGGCTTGCAATTAAATGATTTCTTTTTTCCTTTTCTTGAATGTGAGCTGGTTTCCAAAAGCTGCAAGTACATGTATAATGTTGTAGCTGGACAAGAAATTCTGAATGGCACTGTCTTCACTTAATTTTAGCATAGATTAAGGTTGTATAGTTCTAAAATAAGAGCTTTAATGTGTCAAATAAAAATGGGTGAAAAAATCTCATTTAAAAGGTCATAGATATGAGATATATGACTGCAGACTCCAGAATGGAATTGTTGAATCCGAAGAGTGCATTATACTAAATTAAATTTTTAACTGTTGCCGTAGTGCGTAGGACCATATGCCAGCTGAAAAGATAGTGTTCCTAGTGGATTGCTGAGTCTCATCTTTTTCCTTAGCCTGACTAATTGGTTGTTTGTCTTCCAAATGCCAGCCTTTAAGAAGCGAAATTTTTCAGTTTAAATTTCACATATCTACTCCATGTAGAACTTGTGTTCCTTGATATTGTACCACATATGGAAGGAAAAAGAAGAAATTGAGCTTCAGATTTATGTAATGGGGTTTAACCTGAGGTAGACTAAGAAATTAACGATGCCTATATAATGTTTTATTTATTACGTTATTGCCTGAACATCATCAGTTCTGGAATATGACTTAGTTTTCTGATTATTAAACTTGAAGATCGATATACAAATTTCTTATATAGATTTATGAGGATAAGTGGGCTGTCAACAATTAGTTGATAATGTTTTCTACTGTGGAGCTATCTCCTCTGCATTTAATTCCTTGAAGATTGTATTGTGTTGGGGATAAGAATTCTCAGTATCTTTTAATTAATATTCGTTGTTATTGCTAAGACTTGGGATTTCATCCTAAAAGTTCAACTTTGTTAAGAGAAGTAGCTCAAATCCTTATAAATTGGTCTATATTTTCATCTTTATTCGATATGAGATTTTGTCCCTTAAGAGTTATATCTCTCAGCTTGTGATCGATCAAGTACCATCTCTAGACTTGAAGAGGACATCTATTTTCACACTGTTGGGGCTGGTTTTGGTGGGTCCAACATTGCATTTCTGGTAATGGCTTCTATCATTTTCGCTTGTAAGTTTCATGTGTAGATGTTATTTTTATGATATCTACAGTCTGACTGAGTTTTATGCTTAATTACAAATTATGTGCTTCATACTTTGTACCAAAATAATTAGGATAGGTTTGGATAGAAAGATTTGGTCTTTGTATATTTCAATTTGACAATCCAAAGTATTCCTTGGTTGTTATTTAGAGTGGGGATTTCAAATCAACTGTCAAGATTGAGTGATCCGAGACACATTAAATGGATTTCAAATTCAGTCAATTTGAGTTTCATTTTTGAAATCCCTCCCTTCCCAGTTCCCTCTCCCTCTCCCTCTCCCCACCATCCCACAGCTTATTTTTTCATTGTTCCTCCTGTTTGCTTCTCATATCGGGGTTCTTGGAGTGAGATGATATTTACATCTCAATGCATATTGGGATGGTGACATTTCATTGTGAAATGGTGCTTGTGGTAGTGGGAGGAAACTAGACGGGAATGAAACAGCGGTTGACGTTGGTTGCCGTATGTCAAAGTAGGGGGATGGTGATCTTGAAGAGAGGGAGGGAAATAGTGGCAACGGTTCATTGAGAAAAGAGTGATGGCAGCGGAGAGGGGGTTATTGCTGCGGACAGATGAGTGGTGAGTTGAGAAGGGAATGATGGTGTAGAGGGTGGCTGTGGTAATCATCACCTACATTGTAGAATGTGTTGTACAGTTCTCTGTTTCTGGATCGTGGCATCCTAAATATTATGAAATAAGCAATATTCATGTGCCACATGGTCTGGCGGTAGGTTGGCCAATAATTGAAAGCTATTGGACAAAGCTTAATAATTGCTAATAAGCTAGTCAAATTTTATTTTAATCCACACATTTCATATGACAACAAAAATTACTTACTTTTTAACCCCACATTCCTTGTGACCCACTTCTTATAAACATTTATAAGCTTTGACAAACATGCACTAAATGTTCATGTTCCTTAGACAACTGATAATTAACCAGACTAGACAATAGAATTGATTTCCTGCCCCTAGTAGGCAAGATAAAAACTTTCACCGTCGAGAGAATTATGGTTCTCTGAATGTATAACTGTTACGGAGAACCATGAGTAAGGTTCTCTTGCCACGTCAACACTAAAAAGTTTTTACCCGCAGGAGATCAGATCTGAGCCAGCCAATTGTTCGGATGTCAGCTTATTTCTTAACTAGGCATTTTTCTAGAGATTGACTAATATAATTCTTTAAATTAGGATAATCTTGCAAAAAGAAGGTCAAAACGAATTAATTTTTCAATATATTGGATATACTTGCATACACAGAGGTTTGATTTTGGATTTTAAAAAAGGAAGGAGAACTCCTGTAAATTTCTAATCTATTTAAATAAAACTGACTCGAGTTTTAGTTTTGTGTTTATGAATTTTGAACTGAATATGAAAGTTACGCACAATAATTTTTAAAATCATTTGCAAACTTTATTGACGAGTAAAAGTTCTAGTAATTTTCAAGTCCATGGCTTTATTGCTTCCAAACAAGGAATTTCAAATCCTTGCTTCCCTGTTTCCCAATTGAAGGGTTTTAAAGCGTACAGAGTTTCAAATCTGAACTCCACACTCAAACTACTGATCCATCCATCCAAATGCAACCTTAGTCTTCTTATCCACAATCTCTATTTTTAACAAAATGCTGGAATCCATAGGTGAAGTGATACCTGCTCGCTATGAGTTCTAGTCTTCGACCTCAAATTTCAGGGTGATATTTGATGATTCAACATTTGGATCCATAAGAACCTCTAGTTTAATCAAAATGCTGGATGGTATTTGATGATGCAACCTTGAAATTCATAAAAAAATGTGAAACCTGCTTGTTATCATCGGTTCATGAATCTATCTCAATTAAAAGGGGAGGATAAAAACAACAATTGCTTCATGGTTGTAGGAAATGATTCACTTGTGAAAAAGACTTCGCCCAATCTATCTGTACTGTCAAATATCTGGAAATAGTTGGTTTATACTGGTAATTTTTTCAATTGAGAATTCCAGGTCTGGGACTAGGCTTGGGGAAACTGTTCATAGCAGAGCTTTTTATTTATTTATTTCCATTTGAAGCTTCTATATAGTAAAGTTATTTCAGTAATTCCCCACCAATTAATTTGCGTACTTGCTAATGTATGGACTAAGGCCGTGAAGGAGCTAAGCAAATTCAATAATGTATCGCTCAGGATTGGATCTGAAGATAGGAAACTCTGTGATGAGAATCTAGCTTCAGTTTACTATTCTATCTAGATTCAGTTTATTATTTTATCCTTTTTCGTTTTTCTTTTTGTTTGCTCAGTGAAGCTTGATGTGTCTCTACTCCAGTTGATTTCCATTTAATCTCCATGAACCATTTTGTTATAACATTTGATGGGTTCATCACACTAATGATTTGTTTCCTTTCCTTTTTCTTTATTTCCTCATGGGTTGAGTTAAATAGCACATTGCCCTTGGAACTGTATTTTCCTGTTTTCTTAAGTGAATGTTTAAACATGCTGGGGTAACTTGATTCGACTTAAACAAAAAGAATCCAAAATCTCTGTGCATCTCTCTCTTCAACTGGTACAGCCTATTATACATGGAGGTATCTTTATTTAAGTAAATTGATCACAAAACCGGGAGCATCTGGTGCTTTCATGCGGCTTTTACTGGATCAGGTACCATCTTTAAGCTGCTTGATTGTATTATCTGATACCTTTTTCATACTGTCACTATGTATCACGATTTGGCTTCTTGAGTATTTCTATTGAATTGAACCTGATCTAATGCAGTTTCTTTTCGCTCCCACTTTTATTGGAGTTTTCTTATCCACACTGGTGACACTGGAAGGAAGGCCATCACATGTGATTCCGAAGCTACAACAGGTGTTGCTAAAGATCTTTTCATCTTTATATTTGTGTTCCACTAAGCTTTGGATGTATGCCCAATAGGAAGACTTTATTTGAGACTTATCGTGGTATATATATAACCTGTTTTTGTAGGAATGGTTCTCTTCTGTTCTTGCAAATTGGCAGCTATGGATACCCTTTCAATTCCTCAACTTCCGATTTGTGCCACAACAATTTCAGGTTTGATTTATATAAGGGCATAATCAGGCTCGAATTGTCAGCTTTGTGGTTTCAGTCAGAGAGGAAAAAGTTGTGTGGTTCTGATAACATTGACAATACAGGAAATATGCTTGGTTGAAAATATAATTTGGTTTGGTCGGAAATATACTAGCAAATTAAAAGGCAATTTCTACAAAATGGTTCTTAGACTAACTATCCTTTATAGTATTGAGTGGATGTTAGAAGACAAAATGTCCATAAAATGAATGTTTTGGAAATAACGTTAAGATGGACATAGGGTTGTTCTAAAATGAATAAAATATAGGTTTCAGAGTTGAGGAATTTTAGAGTTCAACATCCTTTCAAAACACCTTATATTATTGACGTAGGATGCAATAGGAGAATTATAGGAGAAGGGAAAAGGGGAGAGAAGAAGAGAAATGAGGGGCAAAGGGAGAAGAAGAGGGAGAGAGGTAGAGAGAAATTGGGGGAGAATATCAATTATTTCATTATTAAAGGTTGTTACATTGCAAGAGCCCCCTTTATGTATGGTTTAGACTAATGGAAGTAGGAAAATAATATAAAATCAAACCATAATTATCTTTCCTAAAATAAACTTTAAAATTGGAAACTAAATTAAATACTATTATAATATTGCATCAATTATACTCTTATATCTTTTATTAATTTATTATTTTATTTTTTTGGATGAATTTCAGCACCCTGATGTCCTTTTACCTTTTGCATTTCTTTATTTAATATTCTTGTATCGTTTGTAAGTTTGTTATTTGACAAATTGACACATCTTTTATAGGTCCTTGCCTCTAACTTTGTTGCGTTAATATGGAATGTAATTCTTTCATATAAAGCTCACAAAGAAGTCCTTGCCAAATAGGTATGTATATTTGTTTGGGATTGAGGAATCAATAGGAGTTTTTCGTGTATTTGAGCGGCAGGTTTGTTATGCATGTAAATAGTCCTCTATAGTGCAGAAAATTATTGACAGTCTAGAGTACAGAAAATATGTAACTATAAAGAGGATTCTGATCATTAGAGCGTTGCTATCGTAGTACAACATGTTAGAAGAGGTAGGGGAGACTGAAACTAACATTTTTTGGGGTTGCTAAGGTTCTAGTTGCTTTGGACCTGTAGCAATGAACACAAAGTGACGGAATGGGATCATGTGGCCGACCCGAACATCGGGGGATGAAGCCTTAATTGGTTGTTTCAGTTGACACAATGGGATTTATATATACATAATTTTCATGTTGATCTCTACTGTAAAAGAATACTGCTACTTTAAATATGACACTGTCACTTCGAGTTGCTGCACATTCATTTTTTCACAATTGGCATTGGAGAGAGGTTGTGCTATTTAAGAATCCACGAATAGATTTAGGGCCTATTTGTTTTTGATTTTTTGATTCTAC